TAAGTACTAAAGTTTCGATTGAGGCCGAAATATAAGTCACCAAAGCCTACACTTTTTTCAGCAGCTCCTACGACGATATGGTACGTGTGTGCTTATCGGCGCCTTTTGAGTATGCTAACTAACGCGTACACAGGCAGCGCCCTTTGCGTGGCCTTGCATACCGCAGCTGAAAATGAGCAAAATGAAACTTAAGCGGCGCTTTTAAGTACGATGTGTAGTCCACATATAGTGTGTAAGTGCCTTCCTGCCCTCAAGAACCGGAATTACATGGACCGTACGAGCTCGGAAAAGGTTGGGAATTGCGAATCTAGTGTTGGTAGTGATAACTGGATAATACATTGCCCAGATCCTACAGCCTAGTGAGCTTTTCCTTTACTTGTGCAGATCCGACAGGTTAACCGAATTTACTACTTGGTCGGTTACACCCTAGAGGCTCTCAGCTTTCAAGATCCCGTCACAGGAGGCGGCAAGTACGACGCAAAGGAACTACAAAGGCAAGGGAACACACCCGATAGGCAACCCTACGGCCAGATCCACGATCTAGGCCCCGGATCCATAAGCTCGAATATTCGCTTAGGATTCGGAACAATCCACGGACGCAGAGTGAAGATTTTCCACTGCTGCTCCACCCCATCCCCACGTCTCGCCAAGACACTCAAGCTTCACCACTTGAACTCTTCGGAAGTTACCGAGAGAGCAAGATCCCGCCCTACCGACGGGTACACAAGGTGAGGAAAGTTCAGCAGAACACGGATCATCGGGGGACCCCTCCGTTAGTCGGTGTCTGGGCGCAGTTGGTAAGTTGGATCCAGCAATCTCGCAGATTTTGCTGACCCCGCTACACCACAAAAGCTAATAGGTGTTATGAATCCTCGTGGTCCCAACAGCGGAAGAATACCAGGCACGGGTGAGCCTTTTACGAGGGCACCGAGTGTTCAACACTCGGTTGGAAGAATAAAAGGGATGCGATACAAGCACTCCCAGTCGTGCAAATAGGCAACAATAAGCTGTCACGTAATACCTCCCGATAGTAATCGGCCAAAACACAAAGTCTCTTGGCCTTGCCGGATGAACCCTCGCTACAGAGCTTCGAGCTCACCGACAGGCATAACACACTCAAACAAGCTTGACCAGACGCTTACCTTGAAGCCGGACATCGCCCTGTGTGCTTGAGTGGAAATTCGGTTCTGTATTTTTGTTTACCCTTTCGGGTCTATTCCTAATAAGAAGTCCCAATCAAGTATACAAATATCAAGTGAACAAATGATCCGTTATGGATCTTCTTGCACGCCAAGCGTCGTCTGCACCGTCGCATGAGTATCTTTAACGGTTCGCGCCCTGTCCCAGATGGTGAACGTGCCTTTAAAGGGTCGCTGAGTATTCCGCGAACTCATCCCAACCGCCACCGAGGGTTCGTACCGTAGATGGTCAGTTCTTGGCCGCTGAATGCGAATCCGGCCAGTCCATCATTAATAATAAGGACAGCCTGGATTCAGTGACATATGGACCGTATCCAATATCCGTTGAGAGTTCGGTACTGACGCCATCGAATCTCTTGCACCTTGGAGTCACTGTACATCACATGACCGAGGGTTCGTCGCTAGAACATCTTAGGCGGTGTCGCGTCCGCAACTATGGAGAAATCACTACACCACATATACTACTGGTCCGTGTAGTTTGTAAAACTATAGAAGACCCTACGATTAAGACTGACGAGTATTTGCTCTAATATTTCACTGTGACACAGACAAAGGCGATCGAGATGGAAAACTGCAAACGCTTGCAGCTGTTTAATGTCGATAGAGCAAAATCAAGGTATTTGTTCTTGTTCTCTAGCGATAGCCTCGTCCACATCGTGCGTCTAATAAACCTGCAGCCTGTAACACTAGATTAATGCGCTCAGGCACGACGCCAACCTTGCCGTCACTCTCACAATGATGAGTAATATTTCAGCTAGTCGAACATTTACGACATCTGGTTGGCGGATTTAACCGATTACGCAATCTTTACAATATCGTATTAGCTAAAATTAAGTTATTTTTAATAAAATTCATATTGTCTCAGAAGAAAATATTAGGTGATATTTTTATATTAACTGGCCTACAGGTGATATTTTCACAATATTAACTTCACTGATTTTGGAGTTACAGTACCATTAACCCCTGCTCACAGACCACTCCGTCCTCATGACATCGACCACCACCGTTCTGTAGAGCGCTTTTGAGTATTAAAGCTTCAACCTGATGAAAGGAAAGCATCGATATACTTGTGAGATTAGTATCGGATGGCTAGGGGGTGGAACGCAACTGCGTTTTTGATTTTTAGTTATGAGGTAACGAGGAACCATCTTTCATGTGCTCAATTGCTCATCATCTTTCGAATTTCTTCACGACTCTGCTCCTTGGCCGGCAGTTCCTGGAAGCGCATGTCCATCTCCTCCACACGGCCCACCTTCTTGAGGGCGTCAAGTTCCGGCGCGACATCCAGGGGCTTCACCGCACTGCCCATAGCGCGATGCACCTCGTAGAGGTACAGCACAGACTGGTATTGTTCAT